GTCCCGAAACGTAAAATAACCTAACCGGACCGCAACTGACCGGTTACGGTTGGTTATTTGTAGTTACTAACCGGTTAGGACCGAAAAATAAAGAATCAGTTATAACAAGGCAAATATGCTCATATGTATCTTGATAGATATTATTTCTGCATATTCTAGCTTTAAAACGAGCCCAAGAACGCTAAACTCGGTGAAGAATTGACATATTTATGCAATTATCCTTGAAAGTCTACACATTTGAGTGATATTTTAGAGATTTGACTGTAACTTAGTCAAATTTTAAGTGTTTTCAATGTTCTCAACTGCGTTTTGAAGGTGTATAATAGGACTGGTTATAACCAGTTATAACCGGTTATTTAATGGTTAGTTAACCGCAAAATAACCGGTTATTCCATTTTCGAAATCAACTAACCCTAACTGCGGTTAGGTTAGTGTTGCGGTTAGGTCCAGTTATTTTCCGGTTATTTTCTGGTTAACTAACCTAACTTTCAAACACTATTCTTGACTCTGCCTTGCTTTGTGCAAACCACCATTTGAGGAAGGAAGTGGCCACAAATGACACAAGTCCTCCACCAATGCAGGTATATGTCATGTAATGGAGTGCTCCACACTCCAATTGAGCTAAACTTGAGCCAAATGCGGTTGTTTGCACAAAGCGAGGCAGACACCAGAAATTTTCAGGAGGTGTCTAGGGTTTTGCATTTAGTTGGAAAATTTTCAACATCGTCACATGTTGTCGGACTTCGAATGGACTTAAGAATAATTTCTAAAGTGTTTGAGCGCTCCGGCTTTTGGGCACTTCTGACTTACTGAGGTGAGTGACTTGGATCCACTTGGACTCACTTTGAGTTTGAAAGGAAGTTGTGGCTGTAACTTGAAGTGCTGAAGTGATTGAAGTGAATTTTCAAGTCAATAAGTTCAACAAGTGATGTGTAGTTTTCCTGATGGAGGGTCATTGGGCGACAGAATGTGCAAGGGGGTGGCGGAACGTGGATCCTGGATATAGGGTTGGAGGGGGGGGCATCCATTGGAGGCCTTAAATTTTTTGTGACCTTCTCTAATAAAAACCATTTAAATGGTCTGTAACACTGCCAGAGCACCCTTGGAGCTTGATTTGGTAAGTTGCACACATATTCGGTCAGTAATTTTCGATACCTTGCATACGTCCTAATGTGTGTGGAATTTACAGACGTTTCCTGGGCGTGACACCCTGAAGGTGATGGAGTCGACGTCGGGCACATAGGTGGTTGGCATGGCGCCGGGCCAGTCAATGAGTTCGATGAGCGTGGAGAACCACGGAAGGTCGTCGCTGTCATTGGTAAACGATGTTCAGAGGTGACGGCTGCCAATAACTGATGGTTCCTTCTAAGAAAAACATAGGAGGGTGGGAAGAACATACCAGATTTGGGGGGGTAAGGGGAGGGGGGGTTGAGCACTAGGGCCTTAATTCTTCTTGCGACTGTATATATAAATTCCACGTTCTGCCACCCCCTTGGGAATGTGCCTTAAATATATTCTGACATTGCCATCAGTCTACTACATCTACTAGCGAATGCACCTTCGTAAAAAAGAAACGCCTATCTACACCTAATTAAATTATCATGTAGTATGTGGAATGCCCGAAATCATATCAATCAGCCTTGCCATTCTTTTCCGGATTGTTCCTCTTTCTTTGCCTGGAATAGTCTTCCAGAGACTAGAATTTTTAGTCGGAAGCTCGTAAACCAGAAACTTAATATGGTCGATTTAAGGAACGTACCGTTGTGGGACGGACGGAAACTTTGTGCATCCATTCGTCAGGTACCTGTTCCCCCGAGTCGTCGATATCTTCATCGTATATGACCGGTCTGGGATGGGAAGGATGGTACACGTAGCCACCATCTTTCGCGATGGCCATAGCTTGATAGAGAGCGACCAAGGCACCCAGGTTGATGATTGTTAGTGGGATCAAAAAACCGATGTTGACATTCGTCATGAACCAGCCGTATACCTCGTATCTCAGTTGCCCAGTCACGTTCCGAAGGCAAGAGGAGGGGGGATTAAGTGCTGAATAAATCAATCGAAGGTAGGTCGTCTGTGAGGTGACAGACGATGAGAGATAGAAAAGGAATAAAATAATTGACAGGACAAACCTCATACTCGATTATACCTTGGATCATCTGTTCGTAAAGAGTCAAGTACTGAGGGGACGGCAGACCTGCTGGCGGGCCAAATGCTTTCATTCCCAAGTTGATAATCGTTTCGGCAAAGATATTGGATTCGTAGTTTTGGGACTCCGATATGAGTACCCCGAGTCCCCCCAATGCGTTATTGATGAGTGTAGAAAATGTAATTGGATAGGATCCTTTCGCCTCTGTGGCGGAGAAAACGTCTTCAGTCGACCGATACATCAGCGAGTATATGGCGGTTTGTATCGGGTTTATGACGCAAGTGATATTCCCAACCGTGTTTGCATAACCATAGAACCCAGTCAAGTAAATAGTATAAGAAGCCGTCGAAGTGTTGTCCTGGCATGCCCAGTAAACTAGCGTGCTGTTGCTCCAGGCGGAAAACAGGTCCGGAACACCTATCAAAGCATCCTTTTTTCCCTGATCAGCGCAGCTGACATTGGAGGATATCGCCAAAACCGGAGAGCCGGCGGGAGACAACGAGCCGAGTTTGAAGGGATACGTTTTAGCATAACCGCAACTCACATTGCTTTTCAGACCTTGTTGATTGAGGGTGTAGTCGTATGAGATCATTCCTGCCGCTACCTCTGGTTTTGAGAGAGGAGAAGACCCAAGCGTGTCGAACACAGATACACCATTGGGACCAATAGGCAAGATGCCTTGCACAGATCCTTGAAAATGTAGTCCACTCTCGGCGCCAAGTTCAACAAAAGTAAGAATTTCAGTGTTGTTCGTAAGTGATTCTATAATCTGAGATAGGTATTCAATTCATGGAGTCGAACTTCAGTGATGTCTTTCCAACTTACTTTACCGCGACCGGCTTCTAGGAAATCAACCACTTGGAACCCTCCAAGACATTCGGTGTATGCAAAACTAGTATTTTTATAAAACTGAGGGCGACATGCAGAAGTTAGCGAAGCATTTTATACTAGCCCGTACTCAGGATCCATTTAACTTACTTTCCAGCTGCAAACGGGATTGGTCAGGGAATTGTTAAACCAGGAAAGACATTCGACATCAGTCGATGAGAAGTCAAGCTCAGTTCCTGTAAGAGCGGACGTCCGATTGAACGAGGTCGGAGTGAGGAGAGTAGTCGTACTTGATATCAAGTGTGGAAAGATGAGGGCACAGATGATCACCGAGAGTGCGGGCCACCACCTATCTTTGGTCATTAGGTACTTCGCATCTTCCACACTCTTGCCCCAAGGCCACGTCTGATGTCTGAAAGCTAATAGTACTGTCAGATGGAAGGGCTGAGTCGGCTTGCGATACGTGACCAACTCCTGAGCAAAGCGAATGATGGCGAGGGAAAATAGTTCACCGATCATCAGGGAGATGATGCTGCAAATGAACGTAATGAAATAGGTTGTGGCCTGAGGGTGGTTTCTGACGACCTTGGAGAGATGGTTGTTCATCTGCACACCTCCCTTGGCCCACACCACGCCAAAGAAAATCCAAGGCCAAGCTAGCATGATAGCAACGCCGATGAAGGAAAGGATATCGCGTATACCAGGCCCTGAGTTCGACCTATCTTCTTCCACAGTCTCATCTATTATGTCATATGCATCAACACGATTTTTGATATCGAAGAAACAAAGCCAACCAGATGTATAATTCCTTTTTGTATCTGGACTCTGTGGCTTGTCAGTGGCCGGGGTGGATGGACCAGAGTACAATGGTTCCAATTCGAGCTCCATCGGGTGAAAGTCCTCCACTAGAGGCTAACGAGAGTCGAGAATGAAGATGAACCCCGCAAAAAGAAGGGAAGAGATTCAATCATATTTTCCCCCGCAAGACACAGATTTAAGAATCTGGTCGCACTGCCTTGGGAACGTGCTCATTCATGCGGGGGCAACGTGGAGTAAGCAACTGACGCTGGTTCGCTTGCAAGACTGAAACGAATTCAGGACACGACGGGAGCTGTATCCGGGTATTTCCTCTTCTTTCTTCAAGCCGTTCGCAATACTTGTTTATCTGTGGTCAAATCGTAGCTGCAATCATCACCTGTGCGTAGTATGGGTAAGCTCGATTTTTTGCGTCACAACAATGATTAACCGGGATTGAGTTTGAGATTTTGTACGACGAGCGTAGTACACGCTCAATGAAATCTTGATCAAGCCATCACCACACGGGAGAGTTCTGCTGCCGATGTCAGAGCTAATTTGTACTTATTCGATCGGATGATAGTGCCGTGCCAGCGTTAATTAGATAATTCTTCCTGTCAGACCTGAGCGCTTGAATGTCATCCTTTCTCCGACTTTTATATCTGTGATCATGGGTCCATTATGGCGACATGTTGTAATAAGGCAACATAGAAGCCAGCGCTCCGCCGACATCGCGGCCGCGGCGAGAAAAGCAGCCTGACCCATGAAGGGCCTTCGAAGAGCGAACCACTGAAACCACCTGAGCTTGACTTTAACAAGTCCGAAACAGATCACACCTTTCCTGTCGGACTGCAGGGACGTGCTCCGGGAGCCACTAGTTCAAGCAAGGACTTTGTGATAGTCATGTGGAAGGAGATCACGAGTGTTTATAGAGGAAATCCGAATCAATTGAGATGACCATGAGTACATGCAGAGACCAAGTCAGGTCGAGGAGCTGAAACCTCACGAGGTGTCTTTTCGCATGCTTGACTCCATTCGCAATGCCACATATCCGCTCCACCCAGGATAGAACCACTGAGGAATTATAGTGCGATTCGGCCAGTGATTTCCTTTTCCTGCAGGAAAGCGTTGCCTTCTAAACCGGCTCCCATGAACGGGCGTTGAACACTATGCCGGTATCGGAGTTGCACGTTGAAGACCAGGCAGCGATGCGGCATCATACGCCGAACGCGACCTTGATATTTCCTACGCGCTCCGAGTATAAGTAGGGAAACGAAACATGTGCCTTGAAGTGCTATTGGGATCCGCATCAAAACTCACCAAAAACAATCTCAAGAGACAACTTACTCAATATACACCATTCCTTCGCCAACAAAGGGGGCCAAGTCACCTTTTAAAACGGACATCAGTCCCATCACCGAAGCGAAATCGAGAAACGGACTTATGCATAGACCCTCCCTGACAACTCTTGCATCTTCATGGGTTCTATGAAGACCAACGTGCTCCCGTTTACGCCCCACGGAGACAGCAAGTAACTCGAACTGTTTGCAGCGTACGGCGCCTAGGTCAACGGGGTCGACAGCCTATATCCTCAATCAAGAGGTCATCATCGGACGAAAAGGGTAGTAATATCGAGCTGCGAGAGACTTGGTGGAAGAGACACTTTCAAAGAATGTTGCGCGCTATACGCAAGCGTTGGATAGGCGAATACAGGGTGTCAATCAAAGCACTAAAGTTGCTGAAACGTCACCCACGTCATCGAGCTCGTGTCTTGTGAAGCAGGGTGATTAGAGAGTTTTTGAGTTTGTTTGTTCGGAGATTGCGGTAGCCTCGGTATGACGCCACTGTCAAGGGAATGTATCGTCAGAGCCTTGTTTGAAGATGGTGAGGTACGATAAGAAAAACGAACCAAAAGAGCAGAGGAAGATCCTGATTGTATATGTCTTATGGGTCAGCGGGTTTTGAACATCGTGAGCTTGATTCAAGGGCTGAAAGCATTGACTGGTCTCGGACTGAGCTGTGGATGCGGATTGGTGCGTGATAGCACAGTTCGCGCTCTCCGAATCCTTGGGGTCATCCTCATCCTCAACTGCTTGTAGTTCTGTTGGTCCCTTTCTCCGGCCACAACCCGGTGACATGGGCCAGTCTTCAGACGATGGCAGGGACTGGAATTCTAAGAGAAAAGGGAAGAGCAGAACTTTCCCGTCTTGCACGCCTATATTTCCGTTATTAAGACCTCACTACGAGATTTACTTCAAACGACGGACCTCATACTTAATCATCCCTCCCTATGGCACACCCCTCGGAATTTTCTAGCATGCACTTCGCGGGCAACATGATTTTGGAGGACAGTGCAGAAAAGGCGTAAGCTGTGCGGTTCCGCGTAGAGTCGAGCTACACTAAAAACAACTCTGTGTGCGTGAATGCACGGCTGTGACGACAAGTAGGCCGTAGAATAATCGTCGTCATGAGTTGTACATAGTAGCATAGAGAATTCTGTAGGGGGATTTGAACAGAATGTATGTGGCAAATTAGGCCAGGTGGATAGGGCACCGCTCGCAATCCGCCATCGTCCTAACCTTCGAGGGGAGAGCCATGTCAGAAAACTGCTGAAACCGTGTCAATGATGCCGCACGGAAGACGCAGTACTCGTGCTTACCTTCTTGGTCGTCGTATACCTCTCCTGCCTAACGTATGTTTAAACTCCACCCAACTTCTGAGATGCCGCCGTCGAGCAGAGCTTTGGATATTTAAGAGTGAGATGCCTGCGTTTCTGAGGTTATTGTACGCCGCAAGAAAGCCGTTGGGTGAGATGTGAGGTTGGCGTTCCATGAGGTTGACGGAGAGTAGTCGTGCACTTGGGTTTGATTATGGTTACCCAAGTATGTCACCGTTCCATAGATCTGCGTCGGTGGCATAGTAACGTATCTTCAAAGCTCGCAAGAAAGAGGATGTTGAGAGTGCCCTAACGGTGAGGTGCTTTGCTTTGTTTCTTGAAAAAAACTCGGTCAAGTGAACATTCACGAGCCTCGAGGAACCACTGAAACCACCTGAGCTTGAATTGAACGAGTCCGAAACAGATCGCACCTTTCCTGTCGGACTGCAGGTACGCGCTCCGGGAGCCACTAGTTCAAGCAAGGACTTCGTGGTGGTCATGTGGAAGGAGATCACGAATGTTTATAGAAGAAATCCGAATCAATTGAGATAACCATGAGTACATGCAGAGACCAATTCAGGTCGATGAGCTGAAACCTCACGAGGTGTCTTTTTGCATGCTTGACTCCATTCGCACTGCCAGATATCAGCTCCACACCCGGAGTAAAATCCAAGTAAAATCACTGAGGAATGATAGTGCGATTCGGCCAATAATTTCCCTTTCCTGCAGGAAAGCGTTGCCCCCTAAACCACCTCCCATGAACGGGCGTTGAACACCATGCTGGTATCAGAGTTGCACGTTGAAGACCAGGCAGCGATGCGGCGTCCTACGTCGAACGCGACCGTGACCTTGATATTCCCTACGCGCTCCGAGTATACGTAGGGAAACGAAACATGTTCCTTGAAGTGCCATTACGATCCGCATCAAAACTCACCAAAAACAATCCCAAGAGACAACTTACTCCACTCAACTTCCTTTGCCAACAAAAGGGGCCAAGTCATCTTTTGAAACGGATATCAGTCCCATCACATATCCGAAACGAAATCGAGAAACGGACCTATGCACAGACCCTCCCTGATAACTCTTGCATCTTCATGGGTTCTATGAAAACCACCGTGTTCCCATTTATCCCCCACGGAGCCTGTAAGTAACTCGGCTGTTTACCCAGGCCAACGCAGTCGGCAGCCTACATCCTCAACCAAGAGGTCGTCATCAGACGAAAAGGGTGACTGCGAGGGATTTGGTGGAAGAGACGCTTTCAAAGAATGTTGCGCCGCGCCATACGCAAGCGTTGCGTAGGCGACTGCAGGGTGTCCCGGTGGTGAGGCAAACAAAAGGGGTGGCCTGCAGAATTAACGCTCCGACGGGGCTGAAAACGTCACCCACTTCTTCGAGCCCTTCACGGATGTTAGATCCATCTTGTAGACTGGAAAGTTTTCGAGGTTGTTAGTTCGGAGATTGCGGTGGCCTCGGTAGCCTGACGTCGCTGTCAGGGGAACGTATTGTCAGAAGGTTGTTTGAAGTTGGTGAGGTACGATAAGGAAGACGAACCAAAAGTGAAGAACAGGACCCTGATTGTACATGTGATGTGGGTTAGCGGGCTTCAGAGTCAGAGAGAATAATGGTCGACCTTGAAAGTTTGAGTCAAGGGCTCAAAGCATCCACTGGTCTCGGACCGACGTTGTGAATGCTCACGGATAGCACAGTTCACGCTTTCCGAATTAGCGGCCTCAACGACATCCTCCTCCCCAACTGCTCGTAGTTCCGTTGCTTCTTTTCTTCATCCACAACGCGGTGACACAGGCAAGACTTCAGATAACGGCAGGGACTGGGATTCCAAGAGAGATGGGAAGAGCAGAACTTCCCCTCTTGCACGTCTATATTTCTGTTATTATCACCTCACTGCACCATTTACTTCAAACGACGAACCTCGAACTTAATTATCCCTCCCTATGGAACACCCCTCGGGCGTTTTCTAACACCCACTTCGCGGGCATCGTGAACGGCTTCCCATAGACGATACTCCCCCTCCTCGCCGTCCTCGGCCAGCCCACATCGTGTAGAAAAGGCGTCGACACCTCAGGACGAACCACACCAAAGGTTAAACGCATAACCTGCGTGGTGCCGCATAGAGTCGAGCCACCCTCAGAAAAGCCCATTGACGGCGTGATTCTTCGACTTGATTTGGTCATCTGAAAGTCAAGGTTACCAGGGCATTTCCACGTAAGTATGTCGGAGACTTACAATTTGCACGGACAAGGCTTTTTGATCCGAGTGAATTAAGGCGTTCGAGCCACAGGCAAACTGGTCTCATACCCGGGGTGGTATTGGGGTATCCGCTGCTTGACTCAAGAGGTCGAGGCTCGAGAATTGGGCCCAAAAACCTGACCTTTTTGATTGTTCAGATAGCGCCAGTGTCTGTTCCCAGTCTTCCGGCTTAATGCCAGCAGTAGGAGACGACAAGCTCGATGAAGTGAAAACTTGGTGAGTACGCTGGAGAGCGGAAGCAAGCAGCGTTGCCATTCTGTTTGGCTTTATTTCTCCAACTTAACATTCGTTCAAGGATCTTCCGTGCATCTCTCAAGCTGTTGTATATGATCGGTAGAGTGCTGGAATCTCAATAATTTAGTGCGCTTATTCAGTATTCCTCCAGGATCTGCTTTTCAACCCTTGGTCCCACTCGGCCTTTTGTCTCCCAGATACCCGGCCACCGTTACTACTAACTAATGGGGTCCTACCGAAACAGTTTCCACCACCGACATATATGGTTGCCAAGTGTATGCGAAACTAATACACCTGGTGCTTAAAAGCACAAGGAGCCGCCACACCACCTCAGGTGTCTGCCCAAACTTTGACGCAATCGCTCTCTCGGCTCGTGACAGTAAGGAGCGACCTCGACCGCCAACCATCACCAGTCCTCCTGAAGCTCGTTTTATCCCCTCCCCCCAGTCCTCGCGATTCCCGAATAAGCATTGTCTTCCTCACGTCCACACCGGTTGGCATTCACGACAATGTTCCGGCTTTAAATTCACTTCATTCATTGAATGGGAAACAAATTCTACGCAAGAAGAGTCGTTCTTTGACCGGCGCCACGCTAGTAACTTGAATCACTCTGCCCTCTTTCGCACATAAACTCATCGCTCCCCATCTCGCCCTCCGCCACCTTCTCCCAGCGAAGAATATCGCGGACCACTCCGTTTGAACTTTGAAGATATCGAGTAGACATAACCCAGAGCCCTCTTCACTTTTTTCATCATTTCTCAAGGTTTTGAACACATACCACTAGATATGAATTCGTTCCATTCATAATTTATCAACGGCCTCCAAGGCTCGTCCGTGTCAAAACCTTTATTCGAACTGTACGAAATCCGGTGGGTCATAAAACTAGCAACACTGGCATAATGGTCATTAATGATCGGGAACAAACAGAAGAGGCATGATGAATTCGAAAGCAGCGAGGATGACTAGCGAGCGACGTTTTCCTGCAGTCTATCATCTGCTGGAGATGTCTTGCTGCGATCTATCGTCTGCGGGAGCAACGTCATCCTAGCGCCTATCACTACTAGGACCAGCCATAAACTCTTGTCCGACTTTCTCAACGTCGTGCACAACAGCTTTGATGTCCTTCTTGAGATTGCCCGCCACATCTTTTTTAAAGAATTCCTTTAAGACCTGAAGCACAAACCGAAGAATTAGTACGAAGGAATAAATGATGACTAAAAATGCAACGCACCGTCGTGGGATGATAAGTAACTTTACGACCCCATTCATCCGGAACCCGTTCTTCCTTGTCAAGATCTTTCGCAATGGTGACTGGTCTGGGATGGAACGGATGAAATATGTGACCGTTAGTCCACGCTATCCACATAGCTATAACCAGAGCGACGAAAGCAGCCCCATTGATGATCGTTATTGGGATCAAAAAGCCAACGTTGGCACGCGACACAAACCAACCGACGACCTCGTAGTTCGCAGAACCGGCCACATTGCGATTGCAATCAGCAGGTTGAGTTCCGACCGTCGAGTATATCAATCGCAGGTAGGAGACCTGAGGGATGACGATGAAAGGGGTGCTGTGATAACATATCGATGGAACAAACCTCATATTCAATGATGCCTTGAATTATTCGTTCAAATAACCACAGAAACTCTGGAGGCCGAGTGGCGTTCACCGACACATTGAAGGACTTATATGCGAAGGTAAGGACAGACTCAGCGACAAGATTGGACTGGAAATTCTGTCCCTCGGAAACGACTTCTCCCAGCCCTCGCAAGGCATAGGGCAGAAGGTTTGGAAAGGTGATGACTTGGGAGGATTCAAGGGTCGGTGGCGCTGCCGAAAAGATGTTTGTAGTGGAGTCGTACGTCACCGGAAATATGGCGGTTTGTATCGGCTTTACGGAGCAATTGATACTGCCAATCGTGTCGCTGTAGTGCCCAATCCCAGCCAGATAGATTGAATAAGAGTCCGTCCGTATCCCGTTCGATGCCGACTGGCATGCCCAATATACCAATGCATTGTTGCTCCAGGTCGATTCAAAAAACGTAACGTTAGTCAAAACCTGGAGTTCTCCATAATCACTGCAGGTAAGATTGTATGTTACCGCAAGGAAGCCACCAGTGGCTTCCCTGGGGTCCGCCGGGAGAATCTTTCCACCAGAGAAAGGATTTGTGCCAGTGGGTAAGAAATTACAACTGACGTTACTGGTGAGACCTTGTTGCTCGAGGGTGTAGTCGTACGAAACCATTCCTGCCATTATCTCCGGATTTGAAAAGGGAGAAGGCCTGAGCGTGTTGAACTCGGGGACGCCATTAGGACCAATAGGCAAAACCCCTCGCATGGATCCCAAAAAATGTAGTCCGCCGTTACCACCGAGCTGACTGAAGGTGAGACTTTCATTGTTGTTTGTTATTAACTCAAGAATCTAATAAAGAATTAATATATCATTGGAACTTCGAGCATCAATTTCTGACTAACGTTACCGCGACCAGACTCAAGGACGTCAACCATCTGATTCTCTCCAAGACAGTTGGTGTATGGCAGATTACCGTACAACTTATAGCAACATGCAGTCAGAGAATCACTTATAATGTTTTAAATTGATATCGCTCACCTGATAGCCACAATTGTTGGATAAAGGGTGGTTATTGAACCAAGCTTGGCAATCAGGGCCGCCAGAGAAATCGATCTCGGTCCCGGTGAGATGTGCCGTTCGGTTGAACGTGATTGGAGCGAGGAGACTCGCGGTGCTTGATATCAAGTGAGGAAACGTCAAAATACAGACGATCAACAAGACCGCAGGCCACCATCTATTTTTGTGGATCAGATACTTAGCGCCTTTCACGTTCATTCCCCAAGGCCAGGTCTGATGTCGAAAAGATAATAGCACTCTGAGGTGAAAGGGTCGGGTAGGCGAGCGGTGAGTGACTAATTCTTGGGCGAAACGTATGATTGCGAGGGAAAATAAAGCGCCGGTGATCATGGAGATGATGCTGCAGATCAGCGTGACGAAGTAGGTGGTGGCATGAGGGTTGTCTGTCACAACCCTAGCCATATGGTTGCTCAATTGCACACCACCCCTAATCCAAACCGCGCCAAAGAACGCCCAGGGCCAAGCCAGCATGATGATGATGGCGGTGAGTGCAAGGAGGTCTTGAATGCTAGGTCCCGAACCAGGCGTGTGATTTATTTCTTCATCCTGACCTTTCGGCGTATACAAAATCAGCATGGGGCTCGATGTGAAAAAAACATGGCAGACCAGGGGGATGCACCGACGGATCATCTGACTGACTACTTGGTTGGTCAATTGGAAGAGTGGTCGACGTTTGCCGACTAATGTATGCAGGTCTTGACTCTGACATGAGGTGGATGCTCCCGTAGCGGGCGATGAAGGGGCTTCTGCAAGCGAGAAGAGGTTTTAACCACTCCTCTTCAAGGGATCTCGGAACTTGATCAGATGCCAGGAACGGTTTGGTATTGGTTTTGCTCAGCATCTGAACAAACGCCAGCCTGTCATTTACGTATCGGGGAAGGGTGGATGAAGCCGCCCACCAGAATGAACCTAAAACATTGACGGCGGCAATGTGAATGTTTTTTGTGTGATTTTTGCAGCGGCCGGTTTCGTCTGGCCTGGTAAGCCCAGCGTCATTAGATTGTGAATACAACAGCTAGTATAGTCTTGAGTTCCTCGTCTCAATTTGAAAATCCATGTTCAGTGTTACGTACCCAATTCTCCGTTAAACTGACCCAGGCAAACAGGCCCCCACAAAAGATCTGGTTCCAAATTTCCCAACCTATCAGCGCTTGATACCATCCTATATATATGTCAGTTCCCCCAATGGCGATGTCGCGATCGCCTCGTGAAAGACATGTTGTCCGAGTCTTCCAGCTCAAACAATAAGCAAAAATTATTTGTTCGTCGAACCATCTGTCAATAAATTTGCTCAAGTGCCCGATTGTCCACTGTTTGAGGTGTCAGTGCACCTCTTTCAATTGAGCAAATGGTAGTTCTCCACGACCAGATCTTTCGAAAAAGGAAGTGAAGTGATCTCTTCAAATTTTCACTAACCTTAAAACTGGTAACCCCCCTCAGATTATAGACGCGGCAGATTCGGAGATCGTCTTTGGAACCATAGATTCACATGGCGCTCATTTTGCTTTCACAGATTTCACATCTAGAATGGAAATCTCCCATCTTGATCTTTGTTTTACTGACCATCATATCATTCTTCCTCGCGTCGTTTACATAGTAGGTGACAAAACTTTCCTTTTTCCAGTCGGCACGACTGAAAGTACCACGAGGCTCAGGCTCAAACTCAGTTCTGGACTCCAGTACGTCAAAATGAAATATCTTTTCCGGAGTCCAAATCCAGACTCATACTCGTTCTTGCGCGGGAAGGTACCTGTGGCAAAACGGCTGACGCTGGCTCAGTAGAGATTCTCAGCGCCAAGATACGACACTAGCGCCGCTGGAAAATAACCGGCGTTGGAATGCGCCCGTCGCTTTATCAACCCAAGTTTTCTTTTGTGACACCGAAAAAAGACTGATGGGATCAGAAAGTCTCATGATGAACCCAAAGGTTTTCGACATGTTTTGGCGGTTTCCTGTCTGAAGTCAATTAGAGCACAGCAACATGGACCTTCCACCCGTTTCAGGTTCTCCTGTGGCCTGTTCACAATAATCTTGACCAATAACCTTGATCGCCCTTTGAGAATGGTTGAAAACAAGTTGAAAAGGTTGCCGAGATGAACCGTGGGAGCTCAGTGGCAGAAGCAGTGAGCCAAAGAAAGTCGGAAACGGGAACTCCGCCTCATCCGGTCAGGCCGGACTCCGCCTCACTGTCCGGACCACCCAGCTGCGTTTATTCCTATTCCCTATGGCATCCTATGATTTCCGGTTTTGAAGTGTATTTAATCCTTGTTTTTTATACAATTATCCTGATTTTCAGACGAAAAAGCTCTGGGATGCCCAAAGCGGTTGTTTGATGAGTCATCCAAATACTGATACATCGCCACAACGTCGCCAACATTGTTTCTTCATCCTGCGCTACCCTCTCGCCATACTCCGTGCTTGTCTTTCAACCGTAAGCTATCACCCATTTGATTGTAAGTACTATTTTGCTACTCGTGGAATGTCACTGACAAGTAGGTCCCCTTAGATGTTACTGTCAACTAACTATACGCCTTCGTGAGCTGTTTCCACATTGCTATCGCAGCCGTCTGGCTGACGCTACGCCATTTTAGGTCTCACTATCTCTCTATGCGTCGCTATCAACCTACTCTCGCTATGAAGTCGTCACCGCCATGCCAGGACCCCCAATCAAAGGTCGATGCGTGGTACCAGGGTGCGCAAAACGTCGCGTTAACATAAAATGTGTCCGAGGAGCTTGCGCGACTCACTGTCGTGCCTTGGGAGGATGTTCAGTGAACCTCCACCAGCCCGAAGATGCCATGTCATTGCCCTCAAGCTCCCAGGCCTTTGCGACTGCTCACGCAATGCCTCGGAATCAACCACCTCTTACAGCCTTCCCCGTGGCTACACCTACCTTCGCTCCCCTTCATATGACGACATCTCTCCCTCAAGACCTCGCCTTTATCCCAATGTTTGACCCGCCTGATTTCATACCAGATGAACAGCCCCATGTTCATGTATCATCACCACCGACCTCCTTTCCTCAAGACCCAGTCTTTACCTCGACGGCTGGCCCTTCTGTCAATCCGCCAGTGCGCATGCCAGATGAACAGCCACATGTTCATCCACCATCACCAGCTGTACACCCTGTTGAAGCACCATCATTATCTCTTCCTTCACCTGCACGAATGCTAGCTGAGCCGCCCTCATCCATGAATCCCCTTCCTAACCCTCGATTTGCCTCGCAGATGCGGCCCATCTTCACAGACCAATCAAAGCGCGAACAGGAGTTACGGGAAAACGCCCGTATTGTGGAGGAACAGCGGCTCGCTGCGATCAAAAAAGTGAAGCATACTGTTACTGTGTGCGCCTGGCTCTCGGTAGGTTTCCAAATTGATGTAGCATTGCCCCTTACTCACTTGCTTGAAGGATGATGATGGGCCCGAGGAATTCATCCACCAGGGTGGCTTCGTTTGGCCCAATTTCTGTATATCGACCTCAATTCTAGCTGCCGCCGGCTTTCAGACGAGCGATGAGAATGCATGGTATCATTTGTACAACCGTTCGCGCCGCTCGTGGCAACGGTTCAAGGCCAACCATGTGATTACCGTGGATTCGACGACGGAGGTCCTCATCAAAGACGTCAATGTGAAGACCTGCGCTCGCCTCAATGACTACCTTACCGACAGCAGGATAGACGCTACTCCAACAAATTTTCGAACTAACCTTCGTGGTGAGCGAGCGAGCATCAAGGTCAAACTCGACCGCCAATTTCTCGAGTTGAATCCATCCACCCCTCGCCCTTCCACGACCTCTAAATCCAAACGAGCTCGGAAGGTCCCTCGGCTGCACACTCCCCCCACGCTGACGACCACACAACCGTTATCTTCCAGTACTGTCACGGACAGTGAGTCTTCGTCTGACGTGTACTGCACACCTGTCAAACGTCGCAAGCTGCCTGCTGGTAAACCCTCTAGGATGACCGCACCTCTCAGTTCACGCACCATTTCAGGGGAAGACAAACGGTGGCCATCTGACTATCCGGTTTGTGACGTTATCCGCGTCCTCCATAGCTGCAAACCACCTCCATCACGAACCACAATTGCTCAACACTTCTATTCGTTAACCGGCATACCTTTCAAGCGCTCGACCTACTACGACGCGTGGTCCAGATGGGATGAAGCCACGCAACAGCAACGTGATGATGCTGAAAGGTGTGGGGAGGATGGTCTTTGGAAAGACTTCGCAGTTTGTGTTTCACTTGAGAAATCGAGGCTCAAGGTGGCTCGACAACGGGTCCGGCGGCGCCAACGCACTGCCGATGCTGAGGAAAGTGATGCTAGTGTTGACAGTGTCACTTCATTGGACAGTTTCTCGACAATCTCGACTGTTTAAATTAGCCTTGTATATACCATTTCTTATTCTCGTTATGTACCATGTCTTATCTCGTTATGTATGTATTTTGAATACAAGGCTAGTACCTTCTCAACACAAAGAATGTAGTTGTTTAGTTAATAGAAATCTAACTCCACCATTGAGGGTTAAGGCCTTGGCTCGTAAGCTTTGCCTTAGTTGCCCTATTCCTCATCATGACCATCTCATCAAGAAAAAAGTCAAACATATCCATCGCCATCTCTCGGCAAATTGAATGGAATCCGCCCAACCAGACATTTGTTTGCTCCGCGATTGAGGTGTTGAACCACCAGTTCCTTCCGTTCTCGCCAAGAAGCTCTGGAAAGAGTGCCGGATTGCAGTTGCTTTGACAGAAAGTGTCTGACACAGCATGTTTGTTGGTGAAATGGAAAACGTCAACAGCAAGCCCAACGTTGTTGAAATCTGGGTCGTCTTTGACGTGCTTTGCAACACTACAATTATTGTCGAAGATTATGTGGTTGGGCATGAACCCGCCCCGGTAAGTTCGCTTTATCATCTCCTACGGCCCAACACGAATCAACAATGTACTTCATAAAAATTAAATTCCGCTTACCACAACTGCAGTTATTGACTCTGCGTAGTAAAATGTTTCTCTAGCTATGATCATACCACAAGGGGCAACAAGAATTTGCTCGTTGTGAGTCCGCAAACTGGGGCTTGTGTGATTGGGTTAGTAACGCTAGTCCCAATGGTTGGATTTAATGAGGCCCGAGCAAGAGCCGTTTGGGTTACCGGGTCAGCCTCGGAAGGGATTACTCGGTCGCCAACAATCTCATATGTCTCGTCAAGGTCGTCACCTTGTTCAATGATATGAGCCACCGGTAAGTCAAGAGCCTCTCCATTTTTTGGGTGGGCAACCTTTGCTCTCTTCAGCTTCTCCTTCAATTGGAATGCCGCCTGCCCACGTTCAACATGGACATTTTCAACCTGCTGATGAATAGGGTTATTGCATGTCCGTTTGTCAGGTGCGGAAATTCTTTCGCTACAGCCAACAATGGCGCATTTTTCGTTGAAATGGACATGTGTTGGACAGAAGCGATGACGCTTGTTGGCAAGAGGAAGGGTGCAATGTGGCACACCACATGTCGGGCGACCTAGTGTTACCCCATCCATGACAACCGCGTGAACGGTGAGCCCTAAAACATGCATAGTACATAAAACATCATTCTGATAACAAAAAATTGCTTACCAGTGCACCCATCATTTACATACTCACGGACACATTTCTGACACCGGTGACGAAGTTCTGGTTGGCCATAAAGGCGAATCCGGTCGTTTCTTTCATGCATAGCTACCTTGTAGCGCTCAGATTGTAAGCCGCCATGAGGTACCTGAAGGATGGTGTTGCGCTGTTGGTGGTCCTCAAGCAACGCTAACAGAATGAAGGCGTGCGCAACATTTTTGCCGTCAAGTTTGCCCTTGAATTTCCAAGACTCGGGGATTTTATCGTTTGTCGTTGTCTTGTGTGTATTCAAGTAAACGGCGGCGCAATTGGCAAATGACACCCATGCGATGTTGGTGCTTGTTCGCCACATGTCTATGAGATGACGTTCTATGAATTGGTGATCTGCAATTTGGAAAATGTCAGGTGGATTGTCGTAATAGAATCTTCTCTCATTCTTCACGTAAAAATCAAGGTGATAATCGGTCTTGCAGTCTGGACAACTAGATGAGCCTAAATAGAGTGAATTAGGAGGCCAATTAATATACCTTTGCAAGTTAGGAAGCAGGAATGAATCGGAATGGGTCCTTCATTAAGTGTGTAGAGGATCCCCTCACGTTGAGTTGCAATCTGGAGTTTTCTTCCATTATCCGTGCGTTTACAATCAGGGTTGGTACAGAGCTGCGAGGGAGGCCACAGATTACGAGCTGAAACTATGTAGTAGCAATGTAATTACTTCGTTGAATATAGAAGTGACTGCTGACGAACTGAATCCTTTATCTGCGCCATGATTCTTGAAGGCAGCCGACACAGCCTTGTCATCAAGGATACAAGCTGACCACACAATCTCTTTCACAACTTTCCAGCACTCCTCAACCTCCTGTTCACTTAGGATGCAGCTTGAAGCGAGGAATTTAATTATGCTGACAGGAAGGAACTGAGGAACGATGTTAGGAAGGTGAGAAGATTGTTGGGCAAGCAGGATTTCATTTCTGAGTCTTGAGGCGTATTGAATGAAGCACGATAGCTTGAGGATACTGTTTGCAGTATCCTCATTTACGATAGCGTCAAGTAGGCCTTGCATTGGAGATCAGAGAGATGCTCGCTTTGGATGTTTGTGTATGACACTGAGTTTATGACGTCATATGGCCTGACAAGTTGCACAGCTTTTTTGGACTTTTTCTATTTTTCTATCACCGAATTGCTCATTATAAAAGGCAGGAATGGTATTAGTATATATATAACACTGTGGTATCGTAAAGGAAGAAATTTATGTGAGGCGGAGAATGAGGCGGAGTCCGGCTTGAGGCGGATGAGGCGGATTTCTCATATCCGACTTGTCCTCCAGTGAGCGACCTCCGCAGAAGCTTCCGTATTCCGAGAGTCCGAACTGCCGCCGATCCGCCAGTCCGCGCGCTCAGAGTTCGCACGGCACCTGCCTCTGCCAAACGCGGTCACGAGCCTGTTTGCCGCAATTCATTATTTCTTTCAACTTGCCACCACTGCTCTCGTTCCCGCACAGTATGTCATTCAAGCTATCATTTTGTCCTGGTAAGTGATAATGAGCATTGTGATTTTAGACACGAGTTTGACTGGATCTTACTAGATAAACCTGTTACAACCACATGCACTAGGATTTATGGTGCCTTTAAGTGTACCATCATCCTCAAGGCCTCAGTTTTATGGGCCAAAGGTGAATGAATGTCCTGTTGACGTCGAACATGTGCTGATGTGTCCCGCAGCGTCAAAGGAGTGGGTAATGCAGCCCAAGCCTAAAGCTCCCACTACATCAAAATTGAACGTCGCCTCCCCTCGCCCTCCTCTCATCGACAAACGGCGCCCCCGTCCCTCCCTCCCTCGACAAATTGCAAACATCCTCCTCCCTCGACGATCGTCCCCCTCCCTCCCTCGACAAATGATGAACGACTTCCCTTGACGGACGGCTCCCTCGACAAATGACGAATGGGCGAACGGTCTCCCCTTTCGATGAACGGGCCCCCTTCCCCCCTCGACAAATGGCGAACGGCCTCCTCTTACAACGAACGGTCTCGACAAATGGCGAACGGCCTCCCCTTTCCACGAATGGCCTCCTCCTTCAACGAACGGCCCTCTCCCACCCTCGAAAAATGGCCTCCTGCCGTTGACAAACGGCGAATGGTCTCTTTTCTGGACAAACGGCCTCCCTTGACAAATGACCCCCTCCCTTGACAAATGGCCCCCTTCATTGACAAACGACCGCATCCCTCACCAAACGGCCCCATCTCTCAACAAACGGCCTCCCCCTTCGATGAACGGTGTTCTCCTTCGATGAATGGCCCCCTTCGACAGACGACCTCATCCCTCCCTCGATGAATAATCTACCCGTCTTTCTATTTTGTTATGCAGGTAGCTGTCTAGTGTGTAAATACTACTGTCCTAGTTGTATTACATTGAGCATGTTAGGTGCACGTGATGATGCTGCCTTAGGTGGACTCGGATCGGCGGCAGTTCGGACTCTCGAAATACGGAACGTCCTCGACCTCCGGGCCGAAATTGGAGCTGACTGACAGCCGCAGTTACATGACACTTGCCTAACCGACCAGGTGATTCTTTTGCTCAGGGAACATCACACCGCCAATTGGCAACAAGTGGACAAACTTCCATATTGTACAAGGAACGGTATATGAAGGTAAACGTTAACGGCCAATGGAAAATAAAGGCATAACGTGCTAGGGGTGTCACAGTTCGCGATGTAAGCAGAGAATACAAAGTACAAACAAAGTACGGAAAATAGATCGATATCGCACTGAGTCACCACTGAGGCAAATGGCTAAGGGCCCGGCAATACCGTCATATATAGCCAATCAACTATCGCCCTAGCTCGAAGTAACGGCATTGAGGACACGATCCCCAACTTGTTTTTGAGCTGTTTGCACAGCGACCCCTTTGACACCGTCTGTGATGTTGTCCTTCACTTGGCTATTGAAGTATTCCTTGAAGACCTAGAACCGCCGATCGAAGAGTCAACGCAATGGAAAAATACGCTATAAAATCCAAAAAAACGCACAGACGTGGGGTGAAAAGTAACTTTATGTCTCCATTCATCAGGCACCTGTTCGTGATCGCCGATATGGTCGCCGTAGGTAACTGGCCTAGGATGGAAAGGGTGGAAGATATAACCACCAGTCTTCGCCAGCAAAACAGCTAGAAGGAGTGCGATCAAGGCCGCCCCGTTGATGATTGTCATTGGAATCAAGAAGCCAATGTTAGCGCTCGTTACAAACCAGCCAATAACCGCGTATTTCACCATTCCATCCACACTGCGCTTACAAGAAGCTGGGGGATTTGGAACTGTCGAGTATATCAATCGAATATAGGTGGTCTGTGGGACAACGATGAGATTGAAGGAATGATGAAATATCGACAGGACGAACCTCGTATTCGAGAATCCCTTGAATCATCTGTTCAAATAATTGCAGATACAAGAAACTTTGCTGAGGTAGCACCCCGAAAGACTTCACCCCAAAGGTAAAAACCGATTCAGCGACTTGATTGGATTGGAAATTCTGGCCCTCGCTTATGATGTCCCCCAGCCCAATCAACGCATTGTTGATGTGCGTAGAAAACGCGATTGGAGCAGCTATAGTCGGTCCCGCAGTAGTGAAAATGCGCGCAGCGGATTGGTACGTCACCGGAAATATGGCAGCCTGCACCGGGTTGACGGTACAAATGATATTCCCAATCTCAGATTTGTAAAAGTTGTACCCTGTCAAGTAGACAGTGTAGGAAGCCACTGGGACCCCGTTCACAACTGACTGGCATGCCCAGTACACCAGCGTATTGTTGCCGTAGGTTGAATGGAGAGACAGAACGTTCGTCAAGACCTCAGCTCCCCCTAATGAAGCGCAGCTAGCGTTGTATTGTATTGCCCCGCCATATCCAGGAAACAACGCCCCGACTACGAAAGGGTTCGTTTGCGCATAACTGCAACTGACGTTGCTCTTAAGACCTTGATGATTGAGGGTGTAGCTGTATGAAGTCATCCCCGCCACTACCTCCGGCTTCGAGAAGGGAGAAGGCGCGAGGGTGTTGAAAGCAGGGACGCCGTTGGGACCAATAGGCAACAGGCCTCGGATAGGTCCCAAGAAATGTAGGCCATCTTCAGCACCGAGCTGACTGAAGGTCAGACTTTGAGTGTTGTTCGTTACTAATTCAAGAATCTACGGGATAAAATGGAGTTAATAGACATCTAATGTTCGAGGATAGATTTCTGACTAACGTTACCGCGGCCGGCTTCTAGGACGTCGACCATCTGATTCTCTCCAAGGCAGTTGGTGTATGGGATACCCTTATAAAACTGATAACCACATGCCCTCAGCGAAGTATCTTGGAGTGTCTCGTAGTGACTCACCTGCCAGCCACAATTATTGGCTATCGGATGTGCTGCGAACCAGGCTAGACAATCAGAAGCAGTCGATGAGAAGTCGAGCTCGGTCCCGGTGAGCGCAACCGTTCGATTGAATGGGGCAGGAGTTAGCAGACTTGTGGTGCTTGATATCAAGTGTGGAAAGGTGAGGACGCAAATGATCAACAAAACCGCGGGCCACCATTTCTTTTTGGTCATTAGGGACTTAGCGTCTTTCAAACTCTTTCCCCAGGGCCAGGTCTGACGTCTGAAAGCTAATAGCACGCTGAGCGTGAAAGGTTCAGTCGGGTGGCGATGGGAAACCAACTCCTGGGCAAAGCGAATAATTGAGAGAGAAAATAGAACGCTAACGATCATGGAGATGATGCTGCATATGAGCGTGATGAAGTAGGTCGTAGCGTGAGGGTTATTCGTGATGACTTTGGCGACATGATTATTCATCTGAATGCCTTTCTTCGCCCAAACCACGCCAAAGAATATCCAAGGCCAGATCAGCATAATGGAGATACCAATAAATGCGAGGATGTCGTGCACACTGGGCCCCGAACCGCGGGGCACCACTTCTTCTGCCACATGACGATTCGTTGCTGCATGCGACTTAGTACACGATTGGATGCCAAAAACACAAAACATACCAGTAGTATGTTCGCTCTTCGAGTCCTCCAACGGCTTTTCCGACTGGTCGTTGGCAGTTGGTGGATCATCTTGTCGAATCACAGTAGCTGACGTAGCTTGGTGGATTAACGGAGGTTTCGACATTCCGCAAACGTTCTCGTAGACTCGTTCTGCTTAAGACGGAGAAGACAGGAGCAGGCTCTTGCAATCCTTCGCCCTTGCACATTTTGGGATATGACCGCACCCTAGGAACGTGTCCGTTAAGCGCTGAGGCAACTGAATGGACATGTCATACATGTCACATTCTATGGAGGCAGAGTGGAGGAGATTCCTAAAGCCGGCGACCAAAATAACCCGAAAAGACTGATCTGTGTTCAATCCTGTGCTAATATCCTGTTTATTCGCCTCCGGTCTGGATAAAATGAAACATACAGTTGTCAGTTGGCAGGCCTCTCCTGTTCAACGTGGATGGTTAATACGAGTACCCATCTTGGCGCGAAGACAAGTGCAGGGCGCAAACAAGTTTCCTGTCAAAATTCGCGATGAACGAGTTGGGATTCTTGCTATGGTTAGCGCAAAACATGTGCTTTGGACAATAGAACTTTACGTACCACCTCAATCGAACGACCTCTGCCGAAGTGCTGCAACTGAGAAAAAATACGATTCCATATATAGCAGCCCGATTTCCGTTGATCCGAAACATGCTGTTGCCGAGATCGGGCTTCAGGCTTCAAGCGTCAATATACCCTGGCGCTAGCTAACATGTCGACACCAACGATAAACCTGGCGGAGCTTGGAGTTGAGGATTTGGTGCACTGGTAGGAACCTTAAGCTTCAGTGTCGGATTAGAATCAAAAATCAAGCTCAAGCTTCAAGCCGGATGCAGGAACCTGGAACGATAAGCGTGTGCAAGTAGAGTGACTCCTGTCCATCTCATTCCAGAGGGACTGGGGCTGTGCTATTTAGACGCTGGATTCAACTCCGCATATTGACGCATGTTGTCCTGCTGTTTGGTGCAAGGCTTCCCTTACGTTCCTCTGAACACATCAAGAACACATGCACGTATACATGCCGGTCAATGCCTAGGTATTAGTTTTATCCTGCCAATACTTTATTTTCAGCAAAGTTCGCGTACAGAAAAGACAGCGTTGACTTTGTATTTTGGAGACCTTTTTATTTTTCTATCGCACTACAAGAGGCTCTACTGAAGTCTGACTCACCTCTTCAAGGTCGTGCCATGGTTTCGTATTGAAATGATACACACCCCTTTTCCCCAATCGGCATTGACATAAATTATCACGAGTTGCCGTCCGGATCGTAATGGACGCTAAACACAAGGCCGCGTGCTCGGAAATAGTGACATCCACCACAACATTTATTGGACTAAGACCAAACTAAGACTGGAAAAGCTTTCGGGTTTTCCCACGAGGCACTAAGCGCGACATACTTCCATGTCATCTCAGGTCATCTCTCATTAAAAACCAGACAAAACCCTGGCACTATGACCGACCCTATTCACCAATACCAATCAAATCAGAACGTTGTGATTATCGCCAATCTCGATATCAATTGTGGGCAAGAGTCGGCGCTGGCGTCAATCGGCACCTCAATGATCGAAAGGACGCCAAACATGCACCCAGCCGTGATAGCGACATCGGCCAGGGATTTTGTTTGTATGAAAACGTAATTTACCACTGGAACACCATTGGATAACGATCTGCATCTGGATGACAGAATTTCACAGCCCTTTCCTTGACCAGAACCTATCCAGTCCTACATGTTTATAAGTCCAGGATCCTTCTTCCGTCTTTTTTGGGAATCGTCGTCATGTCCAGAATGTCTCTGGCTTTATGTATCACGCTCGTCCTCCAGTTCTGGATCGCCTTGGCCTCTAGAACCGACCTGAGTGCTCGCTCAAACACAGGTTTCGTTACTGTATCTGGTGGGCGGTTCCAACTGAACGGAAGGTAACAAGCTAGTCCGATATAGCCATCCTCGGTTGGGCTGATGTCGCACCGTCTTAGTCTTTGGCGCTTCTACGGCACGAATGCATACTGGCTGCAAATGTCTACGAACGACGACATCGACCTTACCTTCCACACTATAGCGACCGCTGGCTTTAGAGTCGTTCGCGCTTGGGCTTTCAATGATGTGTCCAGCAAGCCATCCTCCGGCACCTACTTCCAGGTATGATCAAATCACCTCACTACTCCTTCTTCCCAGCTAACGCCTCCAGTAGATTCTACAGAACGGCAAGGCAACTATTAACACAGGTGCAGATGGTCTCCAGCGACTCGACCAAGTCGTTGCTGCCGCTCAGAAGTACGGGGTGAAGCTCCTGCTCACGCTTACGAATAACTGGAACCCTGAGAGACCAACGCCCTCTACCTCTTGGGACCGTCGGCAAGTCACTGATAATGGCAAGTTCTCTGAAAGAGGATTTCTCTCTAATGACTACGGTGCGTTTCGTCGTAGATCAATCCGCCTGCAACACATTTACTCTATCTTATTTGTAGGCGGAATCGATGCATACGTCCGAAACTTCCATCCTGGTGGCACGCACGATTTGTTCTACACCGACAGCACTATCATCAGCGCTTTCAAGAACTACGTTGCTCAAGTGGTTAAGCGGTATGCCAACAACCCAACAGTCCTTGGATGGGAATTAGGGAACGACTTACGCTGCTCTTCCACTGTCTCTGCGTCTTCGAGCTGCAATCCGCAAACTATCACCAAATGGGTTTTCGAAATATGTGGGCGATTTTGTTCTGATACGTAACCCGATACCGTTATAATTTTGCGACTACAGCAAACTACATCAAGACACTTGATTCGAACCATCTTGTCACAGCTGGGTATGTCGTTCTGCATGAGCTACGCCTATTGGTTGATCACATATCTTTGCAGTGATGGCGGTTTTTACTGTCTAGGTTGCAAAAAATTGTACGCCAAGCAGTCCGCACAGCCAAACGCGGTGATTTTCCCTGGACCATCGTTCGACGGCTCGTATGGAGTGGACACAGAAGACATTCTCGCCAGCCCTTGTATCGACTTTGGTTCTTTGTACGTGCCTTCATGCTAATTGCATTCTTTCCTGAGACGCTCGCGAAAGCCAACTCTTCCCAGATCAAGTTACCTACTTCCCTGATTCGGTGAAGTCTTTTGCTACCAAGGCTATCGGCGATGGCGGCAAATGGGTCGGGGCGCACTCGGCCACCGCCAAGCAGTAAGTACTCGAAGTGTCATCTTTTTCAAATAGATTGTACCTTTTCTTTACAGGCAAGGCAAGCCGGAAGTGCTGACAGCCATGGAACTTGTCACGAAGGACTTCTGGCAATTCTTCGTTCCTTTCAATGCGACTGCTCCCTTCCCCGACACCATACCTTGCCGTAAGACAGCCTTTATACTTGTGCTCCCGTATCTGACATGTTTCGATTCTAGGCGGTGTGGAGGAGTTCCAGATGACATACGCATTTACGTCTTGGTCAGGAAGTACGTTGACTTGTGCACGTTGATCTCGTCCTTTGCTCAAACGTAATTCAGCCTCCCTCAACGGCGACGTTGACGGCGTATTGGAATACCCTGTGAGCTAGACGCTATTTTTTTTGGTCCTTCTCCCTTTCTGATGCAGTCATTTTATTACCAGTGGGTCCAACATGGCCTTACCAGTCACGGAACGACCTTTCCCAATGCCAAGAGAGACTTGACAGATTCCCCTCCTGGCGGAGGAAAGTAAGCGTCTCCGAAGCGTCTTTGTTTGAGCAACTTGACCAATGAATTTATTTTCTGCAGCTATAACGGGGCAGCGAGCGGGCAAACAGCTGAGCAATTCCTTAACAGCCTGCCTCCTCTCCCTTGAACGTCTCTTGGTGTTGCATCCAATTGAGGGACTGTACGAACTGTACGACCTTAAGGTAGACGGGATTTTTTTCTTTTCTGAACCTCCAACTTTTGTTCTGCCAAGTTTCCAGCTCATGGATTTTTTGATTTACGCCCTTCTCCCAAAACTTCGTTCATCAGACACTTTCACATTACCAAACACTTTCACATTACCAGACAGTTCTCCATTACCAGACAGTTCTCCATTACCAGACAGTTCTCATTTCTCATCATGACTTTTACCGACGCTTTGTGACGATTTCCATTGACAGCCTTAGTTCAGTACGAGGACCTGTTACGCATTTTCATGAGTTGTTCAAAATATTTGAGGTCGTGAGCTAAAGACTATCGCCTATACCGTCCTCCACGAACACCACCGCCCTTGGCCTTCAACGCGGCGTTCTTCCTCTCCCGCTCCTCTTCCTTTGCCCGTGCACCTCTCGCTCGCGGGTCAATCACCTCATAATCACGCTCCGCCTTCAGCGTCTCCTCCCCATTATCCTTCGGGAAATGAAGAGCATGTCCCATGAACCCCCGATCATCATCCACTTCCATGCCAGCGGCATCTGCACCAGCTCCCTCACCCTCACCCCCACCCTCGCCCGCCCCCTCTTCCTCAGGTTCCTCATCAACCAGCATCGATCTCTGTAGCTTCCCCCTGAAGCTACTCAACGCAGCCAACACATCACCCTCGTCCTTCCGCTTGCCGTCTTTGCCCTTCTTCTGCAGCCCTCGCCCTTTGGAGTACTTGGCTAGCTCTTCCTCGAGATACGACTTCTTGGCCTTCTTCTTGTGTTCATCATCACTCAGGTCACCGTCCCGCTTTTTCGCAAGTCTCCGGATCTCAGACTCCACTTTCTCAATTTCGGCTCGTCGAGAGTCACTATAAGTCGGAGGGTCAATGAGAAAGCAGCAGAGCGGCGAAGATGAGTTACCTGCCAGCAGCTTGTTCCTTGGCATAGCTTTCTCGAATTTTGGTGATATCTGGGACTTCCTGCTTCTTCGAAGATTTCTCAGCCTTAGAAGCCTCAGACTTGGGTTCACTCTTCTTCGGCCGGCTGCTTGAGGCTGGATGTGACACGAAATCGGGTATCACGGTTGTTGGTTGGGGATTTTCAGCCACTATACAGGGGTTAGCAGCGTAAGGATAAGGTGATTCGAGAGTGCGTACAATCTGGTCGGAAGATTGCTTTCTTTTCGAATGTGCCGACATCTCCTTCTTCTTCAGCATCTGCGTCCCCACCGAAGCTCAACAACTTAACATTCCTGAAAAGTTTGTCGTTAGCGAGGAACAGCAATCGAGAACAAGACACATACTTCTTGGCTCCCTTCCTTCGTTGTTCTTCCTCTCTTTCTCGTTGTACCTCTTCCCTCGCGCGTTGTTGTGCGCGTTTCTCAGCAGCAGTGATACGTGGCACGATATCGTCGAATGGGTTGTCAGTGATCCGAATGGATTTGATCTTTGGAGGACTACCATCATATCAACTTGCTGCCGGAAGAAAGGATAGAAGCAACTCACTATACTGGTCGGCCATCCTTGTCAATCTCTGCAAAAAGAAAGGCTGGTCAGTCAAACAATCGAAAAAATTGGCCTTATTTGCACACCCATATCGCCGATCTTCATCGCATCTATGGACTAGTTATTGTTTGAGCAGGCATCGTATAAGGTCGGGCCACGTACTGTACACCGTATCTCCCATAACTCGCCCAAATAGTGTATGCTTCCCATGAAGCTCGTCCGCACGATCTAAGGCTTTGGTCAGGGAGAGGCGGAGGAAGGGATACGTCAAGACCAACCAAGTGTGATAAAGAACTGTGAATCGTTCGAATTCTTCGTCCCATTGTTTGCCATCGCCACAAGGCCTCGGTGAGCGAATCGTAGTCGAGGGTGGATCTCATCCTCAAATGGTTCTGCATGTTCGTGAGCTCGGAGTCAAATATAACACTAAAGTCTCGTACCTCCATAGAACGACTCTCCGCCGCCCCCGGTCCCAGTTTTATCTCCAGTTTGAACCAGGAATCCCGGCACGATCCTTTACGGACTCGTCAACGAAATGTCAACCTTCCAGGAGGCAAAATCCAGCTAACCGATGAAATATCACGCCATCATAGTAGCCTACGCACTTCCGTAAGTCTACTTGCAAAATTTGCCTTGCGAGAAACTCACAGACCCTCCATGGCTAACGCGAGGAAGTTCCGACATGTTTTGGGTGTTTCCTGCAGATCATTGGGGTCAGTTTCGGGATTTCAGTATCAAGAAAGACACGGACTTTCGACCACAGCTCAATTTCGATCTCTCCTACGGTCGTATCCACGATAACTCGGCCGTGTGTTGGAAGAGCCATGGGTGATTTCAGCAAGTGGCGGAGAGTAAAATGCAGCGACAAACAAGGTCACAGCTTGATTCCGACCCCTGTGCGATTTTGTCCAAATCTACTTTCCCTTTGATCCCGGACCCCTTGCGATTGGAAATCATCAAGCTCGTATTGTTACGTACAGGTTTATATCTTTTTCGCTTTGCGTGCTATTCCAAGCTTTTGAATACTGGACAGGAGCCAACGCCTTCTTGCTTTTGCTTGGATTGCGGTCATATCACAATTTCGGATATGGAGGGATATGATTCGGAGCGAGAGGGTTCGCAGAACGAGAGTACAGATGCAAGTCCTGAGCTTCGTACTTTGCAATCTGACCTAACGCGCGTCGGTTTATGGCACAAGATGGCACATCTTCAGCAGCCATCACACCATGATCCTGCTCTGATTCTTTCCCTTCCTGAAGAAATTATCATCCATATCTCACTTGAGGCTTGCAAACCCTTTTATGAATCCGAATCGTCAGTGCAGGCCCTCCAGCCTGCAAACCCCGCATTTCTCGGAAAGATTTGCAAGCAGTGGCGACAGATAGCAATGTCCACACAGGAGTTGTGGAAGTTTATTCTGATAGCTATCGAAGAGCCTTCGGATTATGGTGGGCTGGAGAATGAAGCCCAAATCGAGCACTTCAAAACATGCATCGATAGGTCCGGAAACTATCCACTTTTCGTACAGCTCGCAGGCGACGGCCATGACCCTGACCCCCATCTGCTCGACAACATTTATGATTTGTTGAAACTTTGTTCCCATCGAATTGACCATTTTAGTTCTCTTGGACTGCCGAGTCTGGTTGAAACACTGGGAGCACTGAATCTTCCTATTTTGACGTCAATGGCTTACAAGAGCTACGCTGACTGGTGGTGGTGTCTCGCCAAGGACGCTCCGCTTCTCCGCAGTATATCTCTCTCCCATCTTCCACTGAGTACCGACGACCTGAAGTGGGAAGAGTTGAATGAGCTCAGGCTCATCCGTTGTCGCTGGAAAACGTGTCTCAACGACCTCTGCCTCGCGCGGAATCTCGTTCACTGTCATATTCGTGGTCTCGACCCATTTCATGAATTTAACGATGATGGTTCCATGGCTCAACTCCCACATTTATCGACTCTCATAATGTCCAATCCTTTTGCTGCCATGCTTACGATAGTCCTTGATCGCATCGAAACGCCGGCTCTGAAACGGTTGGAGGTTCAGTGGGAGGAAGAGGTGTTGGAGCCTCTCATATCTATCACACATCTGGTTGCACGCTCCTCTTGTTCACTAGACCAGCTTGGCATCACTGCCCACCCAATCACCGACTCAAGACTGGCAATGGGATGCCTGGACAGCATACCGAATCTCAGCAGATTGGAATTATATTTGAACGAAGATAACGCAAATCATGTCATTAACCATTTGAATCATACGGCACAGCCCCTGGACATCTACATGAACCGTGTCTTGTTCCCTAACCTCCATCAGGTAATTGACGAGATTCCGTTGATCTCCCACTACAAGGTATTGTTCGACGAGATGGACGAGCGCCCTGTCGGGAATTTCAAACTTGTTCAACGCAGGATATTTTATATCAATGATTTAACTCTGGAATTATATAAAGGCGTAGAAAGAAGGCCTCTTCGAGACTTATTGAACTAAATGTGATGTGCTTACAATTGATACCTTCCTATGTTAATCAACCCCTCCTTTGGACTAGACAACAAGATACAGTTGAAATTTCGCTCATGCTTCGGGTCGTGGCCAATCAGTTGCTCCCCGTATGGTCCCCTCGGGCGTATCCCAAAATATTCTTACCCACGCGTACATATATGAAGGTGTAGAAAGACGTCCTCTTCGAGACTTACTGAAATAAATGTAACGTACTGGCAATGATTACCCTCCTTTGGACCAGAGTTAAAATTTCATCATGTTCGTGGTTAGTTAGGAGCCTTGCTCCCCGCACAGTCCCCTCGGGCGGGCTTACAGAAATCGGCGTGCCAGGCGTGCACGAAGCGTGCAAGCCGTGCAGAGCGTGCACGCTTCTCCGATTTTATTTCAAATTTTGATGGCATTGTATTTTGTACTTTTTGACTTCTGAAATCGATACTTTCATTTGTTTGAAATATAACGTTGGCTTCGATTCTACTTTTACTTGATTTTTACGGCGAAAGGTTCAAAAAGTCGGAGTTTGAACTGTCGGCATCTCCCCCCGAGCAATTTTGAGTAGATATAATGCATTTTCATCCCAGAAAGTGGGACGTGTACTTAGAAACCCATCCCTAAAAAAAAAATTCATGTAAACACATCAGACGTTCGGACATCCCCCAGTAAATTATTGAGCAAGTCTCGATTATTGAGTACAACTTCTCGGCCATAGTCCATTGTTAACATCAACTTTGGACAATAACTAGCACTTGGGAAACTGCCAGGTATATAAACTGCCATGTAAAAATCCTCCACTTTTTGCACGCTCTGCTGCATGCCTCACGCACACCACATGCACGCCACACACACGCTCCGCACGCCGCACGCACGCTCTGCACGCTTCATACCCTCTCTGCACGCTTCGATGTAAAATATATGCCTCACTTTTTCCAGAAATATCTTATGTAAATAGCTACTTATTAGGTGTCCTGTGATGTCTCCGAGGCGCAGTGCAACTCCACCCCCTGGTATCAATATTTTGAAAGCTGGGCTTAGCCCTAACCCCCGGCCTTTGCTTTTTTATCGATCAGTTTCTTCGTTCAAACGCCAGCGAAAATATTTATATTAAACACCGATTGCTTGTTGGATGAGAGAGGCGCTTTATTTGAACCTTCGAGCCTCTTCCCTAGTGATATGTGACCCCTCGAACTTGAGAATTATTGAGCCAACTGCAGGCTGTTTTATGGGGTCCCAAGCACAGTCTTGCCCCAAATAGCTCACTGCTGAACAGTTTAGAGTACCACACCGCCCTTTAGAGTCAACTGGCTGATATTATAGATGTGGCGTGCCACGCTTGCACGCTTCTGCACGCTCGTGCCACGCCAAAAGTGTTGTGCCCCCCTCGGGCGTATCACAAAAATATGCTTACCCGTGTACTACCTGCGTAACTCGGTTAGTGACCCTTTGGATTTGATTCCGATAGGAAGTTAGCGATCCAAGATCCTCAGGGCCGTGTAGTAGTAGGTAGTAGTAAGTCGCGGCAACCATATACATTATTTGCAATTCGGCACGGATTGCTTTGGGGTTGCTGATTGGCGAGGTGACCTACCCCGCCGGCGGGAAGTGCGGTAAATGTTCAGAAATGCGGTATTTGAAATACGGTATTCAGAATCCCAAATATGCGTAAGGCGTCAGGAGGTGTGGGTGATGTCAACCTGCATCGTACTGGGAACGATGAGTGTTGAACGTTAGGTATCGTTTAACATTTATTCAAGGCCTCTCTACTTGTTTGGGGGGACAGTAGTATGCGGCAGGTTACTGACAATTTGAATCAGCGTCGGTAAGGAGAGATGTAAAGCGATGCCCACAAATGAGAGATTTTGGCGGCCCGACACTCCTTCTCCGAGGGCCATAAGTAAGGGCGGCAGAAAGAGGTGGGAATGGTCGCCGGCCCGGGCTCTTGCAACACATACCTAGACGGTCAGACCAATCTAGACGCCAGAATGGTCATGCTTTGAGGCGCGCTCTTTTGCTCCGAGTCGGGATTGACGTGGTCGCATTTGTCCGGGAAGTGCTTTTGTTGCCAGCAACATATACCTAGACCTATCTAGACGCCAGAATGGCCATGCTTTGAGGCGCGCCAGAGCGCGCCTTTTGCTCCGAGTGACCGAGTCGGACGTGGTCGCATTTGTCCGGGAAGTGCTTTTGTTGCCAGTGAGATGGTTGATGGATCGGGGTAAAGTCCATTGACGTTGGATGCGTTTTTCCATGGACTTTGAAGTGAGAGAAAGCTCTTGGAGCCGCTTGAAGAGGATGTGTGCGAGTCGAGGAGCTTTCCCCGTATGGCCGAGGAGTAATAGTTATGGTGGCAATGCAGGTTCAGTGGGATCTAAGGCTCGGCTAGAAAAAATGGCCGGGTCTCAGGACAGCGTCGAGACTCGAGCTTGACACGGATACTCTCCTATTGTTTCAGATAATAGACGTCGCCCCTGTGGCGATTTTCGGGACTTCTGAGCGGTCTATGTTTGCTGTGAAGCAAAGTAAATATGGATGATTGTCGTATAAAGCGCAGTAAGTATTGATGTTAGGCATTGCGATTGTCAAATCTTCTTATGGTCCATATTGTCGTATGGTTCACAACAAAAAAAGGGAATGATATTTCAGAAGCAAACTCCTTTGACCTGCGAAATGTCAGCGTTCAGATATTGGGTTTGAGATCCATCGGATTTGGAGAAGCTCCACGCAGTCATCCTCGGAGAAGGGAAAGGGCCATAGGCTAGTTCGGAGGTCCAGAGTACGAAGACGAAGGCGTAAATAAGGTGCCTGATTGAAGCACGCTTGACGCAGGATATTCGACCAGACGCACCCGAATGAATAGAAGAAGGCTCCTGAAGATAATGAAATGAACAACCCCTCGGCTTGAATGGTATCAGAGGTCATAGGAGAGGAAATTTTTCTCTGAGGTAGCGCCAGGAAATGGATATGTTTTGACAATGAGAACAATGAACGTCTTGTCCTATCGACAACGTTCACGGCTGTTGAAAGATAAACCGGTTGTTGCTTAGTCATCGAGAGCTTGTTGTCACGCAGAAGATCTGTCACGCTATTTGTCCCTGTGATTCTGACGCCCTGTTCCTCGCACCCCACCATCCACACCGTTGACAAACCTAGCTTCATCAATGTCCGCCAGCAAACCCGCCCAGAAGCGTGTACGTCGTCCAATCCTCTCTCGTCGCTGTGTGAGATGGTGTCATCAGCGGGCTAACTGGCGTTGTTGCCACCTACATGTAGCTTACCAAGGAGTTCGTCGCTATGCAAAGGGAACCACCGCCGTTCGTGTGGGCTGTACCGGATGAGAAGAATATCCTAACGTGTTAGTACCCTCTGTGTGTCGTATGTGGCTCATAACGCTCAATGAGATGCAGGGAACTACCTCCTGGTACGATGACTCCATCTGAGTCCATTCATGTTGTGACACATCTTCGACAGCGCGGCCCACCAGATACACCTTTCGCCGGCGGAGAGTATCACGGAGTGCTACTGTTTCCATCGGAATATCCCTTTAAACCTCCTGGAATCAAGGTGCGAGACATTGAGAAAGTGATGGGGATGCGCCGTCTGACCAAATGACAGATGTTCACTCCCTCTGGTCGCTTTCAGCCCGATAAGAAGATTTGCTTCTCAATGTCTGATTTCCACCCTGGATCGGTATGTCCCATCCTCCCTTGCACCCTCACCTCACTCTATCTCGCCGATCTGACCTTTTCTGTCTCTTTGGATCGTCTTATGATGAATGCTGATTATACCTTGTTTAGTGGAATCCCGCCTGGAGTGTCGCGACAATGTATGTTTCTTCTTGAATCCATCCTGCTTTTTCAAAAATTTCTGTCCACATTCGGCAATTGAATTCTCCGAAGTCACATCTACCCGATGTTCATGATCGCTAATCTCCTGTCATCATCTTAGACTTACAGGGCTGTTGTCTTTCATGCTCTCGGACGAGATGACCACAGGATCGGTCACATCCTCAGACCCGCACAAACGTGCCTTCGCCGCCCGCAGTCATAGTTGGAATCTTTCACAGTCCCGATTCAGAGAGGCTTTCCCTGATGTGAGTGAAATACTCCCTTTGCTTGTAATCCGCACACATCCTGCCCACGCCTTTTGACCCGTCGGTCTCCGGCAAATCGGGATTGATGAATAACCGCCATCCATCATGACCTTCTCGATCATCGCCCCGCCTATCCATCAATTATGTCACTAACGCCCACCTCTTCTTCTCCGTAGTATTGCCAGCCACAGCCTCAAGACCTCCCCAACATGGGAGAGAAGGAGAGGGGAACTTCCGAAGTACCGCCTCAGCCAGCATCACCATCAGTATCAAGATCAACATCGCAACATTCGACGCAACCTGCCACTACTGAATCTCCCTCTGCCAGCGCTTCCAATGCAACACCATTCGCCCTCATACCACGACCTCGTAAGCCCGAGGAGAACGGCCTGAACGCCAACCGGGGGACGGGGTGGATGGCTACCTGGAGGCAAATCATCTGGGAAAAGTGGCGGTGGTGCGCCCTTATAGCGCTCGCCGTCATAGTGTCCAGAATCTCCACGAGCTCTTAGGCTCGGCTCGCTCCATCGCCTTTTCAGGTCTTGGTAACATATTTATTTCTCAATCTCGCCCTCCCCTCGCTCCCTTCCGAACAACGTCAAATATTTCAAAGCCCTATATGACCCCACCCGCCTCACGACTTACACCACATAAACATTACAATCTCTGTCTTTTCTTGTGTTACGACCCTCCTACGACACGATCCTTGGTTCTCGATCCATCCCCGCTCTTCCACTCCCTCCCCCCTCGCTCCCTCCTTCCTTTAATTATAGTTTGGCAGGTCTGACGTCTTGAAGCTGAAGAGAAGAGTAACAAATCTTCGTCCGCCTCTTATGCTTATTGGCCCTCCTGACTATACCTACTATTTAGACATCCCCAGCCCTTGATTACTTGTACAACAACTACTGTAACGAACCCACCCCACGAATTCTAGTGATCATTGATCATCCGTTTGACGTTGTCGCTGACCTACGGGATGCTTGAGTATTTGACAGCTTGTATTTGCGCACTACCGTCCAATTGTCGATCTTTAATCTTACGCTCACATAGATAAGTTTCATTGCACTTTAGAGAGGAGGTTGAACACCCTCAGTACTAAAACCACAAGTTGACGGAAGAGTGAGTACTAGAATGTACTTTAGAAAGACCCATGTCGGGTTTGCACCCAGGTTCATAAAAAGATAAAAAGGCTGGACATAGAGAAAATTAAGATGACCTCGTGTAAGTGCTACAACTAAGTGTCCACATTCTAGCATTTTCAACGCCGAAAAAGGTTACACCCGACGGGAATCGAACCCGTGCCGCTTGCTGCACTTGCGAACCTCAATGAGCAAATGGAAGGCAAGCATGATAACCACTTCACCACAGGTGTTCTTGAAAAGGTGTATGAGATAGGCTACATAGTCTAGAGACATAGGCTCCCCAACTTGCAACCTCACCAACTTACTTAACACCAGTTGGATGGTGGAAGAACTTAAGATTAGAGAGGGTAGAGGACTATACCTTGAAGCCTGACTACATTAAACAAGTAACTCTGGGCCTCTGGCAACTACCAAGTATCTAGCCAGCTCCTCATGGGCAATCCTACTACAGTTTCTTCAAAACAGGTGCCCTCAAACCCAGTCTACTCGCCATCAACAAAGTTCCGAGCAGTGCCATAAAAAAAACACACACATGGGTGCAATTTTGCATCAGTCAGAGGTGGAACATTCAACAAAAGATACCATGTAAATCCCATTTCTCTGTAGTACATGTCTTCTTGAAATAAAAATTGCTAGTACTTCTTGGGATACTATGAGATAAATTTAAGAACTTGTTTTAGATTTTTTAATGTAGATATAAGTTGCTTTGGTACCTGTTGTGCTGCTGCTCAGCAAAGAATGGACTGTGCAGGATCAACCACTCACCCCCAGGCTACAAAAATTGATCAGAAAAAATATTCAAATAAAATTTTCTTGTTCAATTGTTCATATTTGTCCTTGAGGTGTGAAATTTCAATTTTTGCTTATGCTTCATAGGGAACATAATTTTAAAATTTTGACCAGAACATTATGTGCCTGCAATTGTATATATCAATTGCTAATAATAACACTTTACTCAGGAAAGGGTTGTTGAAGAGGAAACCAAGGATTAGGGGCCTCTTCAGCACTATCCAACAGGGAAATTTCTCACTCCACAACTATAAATAGATAATATATGACTACTTGAAAGATGCATAGATTTGCAATGTAAATTATGTTCCTGAACATCACTCAATGAATTAGAGGTGAATTGCAGAGATGGTGGGACTAATGCTAGCATAACTAACACTACTTTTCGCAACTACAACTACAAGCAGCTGTGGCTGCTTTAGCCATGGGTCTGTTTTGGAATAGTGTCACATGACATGCATTGAAAAGGCAGGGAGCAAACAAAAACAACAACAACAACAACAACAACAACCACCCTGCACCTAAAAATCAACCAAAATTGAAAAAGGGCTCCACAAAGCTCAAATAACCCCACTACTCACTCCAATACCCAATCCTCATATCCAAAACCACTGCACACACCCTCTCCTCTTTATTGAACCAAAACTGCCCAAAGTTGAACCCTCTGCACCCATTTTTCGCATTTTTCTTTGCATCCCTTAAAAACCTCAATCTGCTCCCATCTTGTCCAAATCTCTTACAGATTTTTGTTTTTCTTATCTCATATACCTATTCCCCCCTTATCCCAAAAACCGATTGCTTAGATCTTGCTATTTACTTTACCCAACGACCCATCAGACCCTTGATTCCCCTCCCTTAACCTTGACCCTTAATCCCTACCTTAACTTTCTTTCTTGGCTCATGCCTTTTACATACAATGACTACTACTGATCCCCCTACCACTCCCAAAAGAAACCACCCAAACATTCCTGTTTTCTCTCCTTGCCCCGCCATGCCAGCCTCCACCTTACTTCCCTGAAATGATGACCCAGACATCCTTCTTGACATTTCACTTCCTCCAGGACGTGATTTGATCGTGCAAAGTGTTGGTGGACCTGATCGGAAATTGGACCCTGTAAATGTTGTCAATGCAGCCGTTCAGTCAATTATCAAGACCCACAAGGACATGGCAGATATTCCTGTTGTAGTTCACCCTTTCCCCATGTGAGGTGCTGGCTGGACATCCTCCTGCTATGTTTGACTCAACCCCCTCTTCAAGCTGAAGTCTCTCACTGGCGTGGATGCCAAGCCCCAATGTGATCTCCTTCAAATGTGGTGTGATGCCCTGAGGACCTTTAACCCCAATTGGGAAGTCAGCTGGGCTCCCACCATTCATGGAACAGATAAACAGATGTGGATTAGGTTCCCAGAAATTCGTGACGAACAGGAGAACATGATCATGAAGATCACTGCACATTTTGAAAAGCTCAAAACCCCTGTTTGCAGTTCCTTCACCATGAAAACTGGTGCAGGTGGTGTTATTCTCTCTCTAGCATGCCACAAACACATCGAAAGCATCATGAAGCTTGGCAGGGTTGATATCCCTGGGGTGCTGCACCCTTTAATGCCACAGCGTGGTCGCCAGATTGAGATTGAAGATGACTTTGAACTTGCAATAATGGGACTGACTGATGAAATTGACAGTGTCAAGACTATTCTCGAGAGCTGGCTTATAGAGACCTTTGTTGTCAATGGCAAGTCAACTTTAGCAGGAATTCGATCCTCTCCAGACATGTCCGAGGCACTGGTCTTTCATATGACAACTTGGCAGGTGGCAACCAGGGTTCTCAGTTCAACAACAGCCAAACTTTTCAATCAGACGTTTGGTCACAAATATCCCACCCTCATCACCCCTCAGTCCATCTATGCTATCAACCACAAGGGCCTATGGAGGAATAAGACAATTCACAAGACTTTCAACAAGGGGTCGGAGTTGATGAACGAAAGTCTGAAAACTCTTCAGCAACAGATCAACAATCTCAAGTTGGAGACTTGGCAGGGCATGCAAGCCATGCAAATGGAAATGTCGACGATTAGTTCCAATCTCGCCCTTCTTGCTCAATCGACTGAAATTGGCCTTTCATGGAATCTGGCTGAAGTCCAAACTGTGAGGCTCATGCTTCATCCTAGACTAGTGATGACCAACAATCCCAGAGAGCAGGCAGAAGTGGAGAACATCATCACCACAATGGATTCAAAGGAGAGCGAAATACGCACACAGCTTGATGGAGCGAATCATGACTTTCAGACACTGATTGGTGTGCCCCCTGGCCAGCTATTGCCCCCTCCCCCATCTTCGAACAGCAGTGCTACCCTGAACAGTGGGAGTTCTGCACCTAGCACAAGCTCTGCTCCAGCTGCTCCACCAGGTCTAATGTGTCATGCTCCCAACAGCGCTGCCCATCCAGCTCACAAGCAACCACAGTGTTCCTCTGTCAAACGGCAAAGGACGATGTCTGAACCCACAGAGGAGCAGGTTGTCACTGCAAATTTGATGGCAGAGGATGGTATGGTTGTAGAAGACACCATTCCTGCCACTGAAGTCAGTAAGGTATGTGGTAACCCTATCCAAAGTCAGAACACACTGATGGTAACTCATGACAGCCTTCCATGCTCACTGATGCCAAAACAACCGCCTCGTTGTGTTGACTGAGAATAGTGTTTAGGGGCATGTTAGATACACTGAGAGTCATGACAGGGAGCTGTTTGAGTCACCAACCTTTTTGTAGATCCCCCCATGTCAATTGAGTGCCAGTATCAAATGCTATGTTCTTTCTTGCATTGCTGGTGTTACTGTGTGGTTTGTTTCCTATGGTCAAGGCAGTGAACCCACCTTGGCGACAACAAATTTCATACTATATTCCTTGAATGGTAATGGTATGACTAACCCAGTAAAGGTTAATCACTTCAATATGGTCATCAGTTCAAGAAGGCCACACGTCTTTGTTGTCAATGAAATGAAGACTCGGTCTAAGATAAGTCAGACGCTACCATGTCATGACTATGATATCTATGAGGAGCCTGGTGAACCCACTGACAACCACCACATTTTCAAATGGGGTGTGGTTGTAGGTATTTGCAAAGATGTTCAGGTTGCACAGCGGGTCAAAATCACGCAGAAATCCCTGAAGGGGAGAGTAGTCACGATTGATGTTGTTTTATCAACATTGGATGGTGGCTGCACAGGTCACAGGATTATTGGTGCATACGCTCCGTGGAATCCAGGTGGTACTGGCGATGTCCACCACTTCTGGAATGATATTGCCCAATTATGCTTGTCCTCACCCACTTCGTGGACGATGGCAGGGGACTTTAATGCAACAGTCTCATCTCTCAAAAGGGTTAGCGGTGGAGCTGACACAAGGGAACAGTATAGATGTTTTCTGCAGGTTGTTGACGGACATGATTTATGGTCAGACATTGATGATAGACCTCGAGCCCACGACTGGATGTGTAGGGGGCATGGCAGTCATATGGAAGGCAATATTATTGACTGGATTGTAACCTCAAAGTTGACTCTTGTCGATGCTGAAATCTTTGTAGTGAATTGACACAATGACTTTGTGCCCTTTACTGATCATAGGGCGATCGTCGGACAGTTGTCTCACAAGCCACCAGTGTCGATGTCAAACTTGAGCTTGTCTCTGTTCAATCCACCATCAAGGCAGTCCATGGTGACTTCATGCATCAAGGTTCCTCTGAGGTTGGAGAAGGACAAGTATCAAACCTTTCAGGAATTGGTAGACACTCGGATCAAAGCTGAGTGCATCAGCGAACACTTGATGATGGATGACAAGTCCTTTATTAGACGTTACAAAGAACTTGGCTCAGTCTTCAAGTGAGTATCTGCAGATGTCTTCAGATGCAAATCTTTCTTTATTAAACAGAAGGACGTCATTACTAACAAACAGATAAAAGATATTGTCAAGGGAATCCATGCTATTGGTGGCACAATTTGCTTTGAAAAGTCTGGGCACACAGCACAAATATTGCCCAAGGCGATGCATGCTTATCGTTGTGTGGTTGTGGACTTTGACTGTGCTCCAGGTTCTCATGAGACTCTTTTACAGTTTCTTGCAAAGAGGAGACATGCCCTTCACAAAAGTCTCTTTTCTGAATGCTCGAAGGAGATTATTCTTCGAGCCAAGCTTTCTGATAAAAACCGGATAGCAGCGGCCCTTAAAGGAGGTTCCTGATGGCATGGCTTAATTGCTGTCTCATCCAGTACTCGTTGGAAAAGGGCATTTTACCAGGTACACAGGTAGCAGTGCAGCCTGGAGTTCAAACTCGCGATCTTATGAGCTTTCTTGCGGGCGTTAAATGTTGGGCTAACAGGCACAAGGAACTGGTTTATGCACTCAAGCGTGATCAGATGAAGGGCTTTGATTACCTTGCACCAGAGGGATTTCACGATGCTGTTTGCTCATATGGATTGCTGCAATCCATTGTTGATATTGATAAAGCGGCTCACAAGGAAACCAAGTGTTTCATTCGAACAGCTTACAGGGTCACTGTTCCCATTATAGTCTCAGATGTTAACAAACAGGGTGGCCCCCTTTCCCCAATCAAGTCTACATTTACAACGAGCTTAGGTCACTACTACCTCAATGACTTGATGAGGAATGATTCTGACACCCTAATTGTGTTGTCAAGTGCTCGCAAAAGGAATGACCCACATCTCAAGGATGATGGGAATTGCCTGATGGTAGCGATGGTCGAGGCCACTGATGACTCCTTCCTCTTTTCTAGATCCCTCCCATCTCTCAGAAGGAATGCTCTTGCCATGGAGAGATTCCAGTATGCATATGGATGGATGACCTAGTGGTCAACGTCGATGGCATGCCTGCTGTCGGTGATGGGGGATCAACCAAACATGATATCTCTCCCCTCGGTGACCATTGAAAGGGGAGTCAATCCTCTTGTTGTAACTGAACACGAAGTGCCTCTGATTCATGATGAGCTTGAATTCCACAGAGCCAAAGTGGACAACCCAACTGCACATTTTGAGGAGCTCAGGAACTTCATCGAAACCTTCCAATTCCCTCATGTTCTTGGAAGGCTACCAATAACACTGATTCGCAAGATTGTCGCACAGAACATCGTTTCAAAGTGTCGTGCTATGTTGTACTTACAACCAATCAAGCAGTCAGATGCGGAAGCATTGGACAGACAGATAACAGAGAAGGTTCACCTGGCTCTTGGCTTTCCTTTCAGGCCATCATTGAGGATCACCACTCTTCCCCTCTCACATCATGGCTTCGACTTCCCCTCCATCACCAGAATCAATGCTGGAATTGTGGTTGTTGGGATTTCTCAGGACCTCAATCATCACATCCACATGTATCAAACGATGGCAAGGATTATGATGGCTGACTGGACGTGTGAGAAGAATGGATGTGTCTATCTGCTTGATGGTGATGGGCTGCAAAAAGGATTCTCACACTATATGCAGTCAATTCCAGCAGGATGGGTCATTGCTCAGAAGGTCATGAAGGACCTGCTGACACCTCTTTCTCTAAGAATGACAGACCAGTCATCATTTGCTGGAGGTGAGGTATCCCTGTTGCATGTGGTCAATGTCTGCAACCATCGAAACCCCCAGAAATTTGCTGACCTGAATGGGAACACGCTTAGGTCTTTGCGAACGAAGGGGATTCAAAGTTTGCAAGATGTTGGAAGATGGGTGATCACAACATCAGGTGAAGTGGTGATTTCTGAATATGAGCACTGCTTTGATAAGACATGGTCTCTAGCTGCTCAAAGAAATTGGATGAATCTCACTGAAGCATTCTGAGGTGGCTTGACACTCAAACATCTTGTCAATGGGCCCATAGAACTTACCATCCCCAGAGTGGCTCATGAATCAAGAGCTGAACATATAATCCAAGCATATGCCAATGTATGCAAGTTCAGGAATATACACGAAGGGGATGGATGTACTTAGGCATCAGATGGGTCAATGAAGCTGGCTTCAGCAACGATTGAAGAGGAGAAGGTTGTCCTTGGTGCCACAACTGGAGCATTGACTTTGGTGTTAAAGATCCCTGGGCATAATGTTTCCATTCTTCATGATGAACAAATTGGCCTAATCATAGCTTTGATACTCACAGGATGGAATTCTGATGAGGCGCAGTTCCTGCTCACCAATCATCAGAACTCTGTTAGGCTTATCAAAGATAGTCAGTCAAATGTTAGCCAGATACCTCACCTGCACAACATGAAAGGGCATGTGTACTATCGGTGGATCTTATCATTGATAGAGAGGATGGACATGAACATCAAATACATGCATGCACATACTGACAAAGATACAATGGAGGCAAGAATGAATCGTGATGCCGATTTTTACATGTCCCAGTCCCATGAAATTGAGAGCCTGGTTCCCCAATCACCGATCCCCACCTTCCATATGAATGACTACACCTTCTATCAGGATGGAGATGGATGGATAGAGAGCAACATTGGTGACTTCATCAATTTGTTGATGGTGCATGAGATGTCCACGAAACTTGGCATCGGCAACAGGCATCAAATGTCAACATGGGCCCATGATCAGTCATCGCCACCGGACTTTCCCTACCTGAGGGTGACATCTACTCATTTGGCGGCTGTGCAGCTCTATGTGAGATCTAGTCAGCTTCTGACAGCTGACGTACTTGTTGAGAGGGGCAAACTATCAAGCGACAGGTGCAGATTAGGATGTGATGAAATCGAAGACATGCATCACGTCTTTGTTTACTGCAAGATGTATAGTGAATGGAGAGCAGAGGCAGGAGCAAGTGTTGTTGAGTGGACTCAGTACTTTACCCTCCCCCATGAGTTCCGGCAGACTCCAGCGGACTCCCATAGAATGTCGGAATTCCATCCGGAGTCCACCAGAATGGTAGGAATCTCAAATTCCAGTGGATTCCACCGGATTATGAATGGAATTCCAATGGATTCCACTGGATTCTGAATGGAATTCCAATGGATTCCGCCGGAATCTGAATGGAATTCCAGAAGACTGATTAGTGCTGATCAGAACTGAGCTAGAGGTCAGGTGACTTGAGCTGTATCTATTGAAGTCAGAAATTCAAACCTCCTTATAAAATTCACAAGTGAATTAGATCAAATAATGATGTATTTCAATTATAATACAAAATATATTAACTACATACA